GTCAGAGTATGAAGGTGTCATCTACGTAACGTAACCATATAGTTGGCTTTAGCGATGTAGACTCTAATGCCATTTCTTCAAAGTATTCCATATGGAACTAGAACAGTCTACCCCAGTGAAATAAAGGGTTAAGTTCGAAATTGCAACCACCTGAAGAAGGCCGGAGCGTACAACGGCCGAAACGTTGTGACAAATATGGCGACAAAGATGAGGACAATAGTCCGACTAATGTAAATACTATATATATATATATATATATATATATATATATATATATATGTATATTGTTTCATTAAATAATATATAAGTTTCGTCTATTTATTTTATGTAAATTCTTTTCATAACGTCTGATAAGCTTAATAACATTATCATTAAACGAAGAAAGAAAATCACAATATTGATCCATGTTTTTTAATCCAATTTTTTAATTCGGCTGACATAAGCCATTATCAAAGATGTCAATTACTTTACAACATATTAAGCAATATACGGACAAGACAGTGATGATAGTCTTTGATTGTTTACATGGATGATTTCCTAGCAACGATAAACGCGTGCACATAAGACGCTAGAAGCGAAAATCGCACCGCAGCTCATGACGTCACACATGACCACGCGAGAGTGAATTCGAGAAGTATTAAGTATGGGAAGCCGTTAGTGTAACCAATGGCTTCTGTTACCAATTATAGGCATTTAAGGATATATATATATATATATATATATATATATATATATATATATATATATATATATATATTTAAAAACATCGCGACATAGAAATGACCTTCCTTCAATAATAATAAGCATCGCGACCAAATATGCCTAACCAAATATTTTTGGCATTTAAAAAAAACAAATAGAACACGCAATGTAAAATGGAAACTAATGAAAAAACGAGAACATGTAGATATTTAAATGACCCATGTCCTTTGTGCCTACACGAAAAGTTATTTATCATTAAGTTTCTGAAAAATAAAGATTAAATCAAAGAAATGAAATAACAGTTTTGTTGTAGACATTGTATTATGTTTTCTTTACAAAATAATCAATTATAAAAAATTGCATAATTATATATCTATTATCTGATAAAAAAATAAGAAAGTAAGAAAATGCGTAATTAAATTCTAATATTTTAATTTTACAATATCGTATATAGTTTATTAATAAATATAATAAATATAGTATTTTAGTTCTTTATAAGTAAAAGTATAAATATAAAAAATATGACATATTTAAAACCTCCTTTAAGAAAATACCAATGTTTTTTTTATAAAATAAGAAAATAAATAAAAATGCCATTTGTATTGTAGTGTATCTTAAAAAAAAAACAGTGATGACATGTTCTCATATATGGAAGCCAGTATCAACAGACAGAAATTATACACCCACACATAACACTAAACCGATATTTACTTGCCATCTTAAATTATACTTGTATCTTGGATTCGTCAAAAAAAACCAACATCCCCTTAAAAATTTTGTAATCTCATTCCCGCACAATCTTAAACGATATAATACTATTTAGCTTATAAAAAGGGCAAATCATTTTTTCGAAATTTATTCAACATCGCTTGAAAATGGAACATAAACTTTAAATTTTAAATTTAATATAAAATTTAAGTTTTGGTTTCGAAACATGGTGATTTCTGCGTTGGGATGAATATATATTTTAAAATAATTATTATAATATTATGATCTACTGTGTATCGATCACAGTTTTTAAAAATAAATGCTAAAGAACTCTGGATTATAAATCTGATTGTTTTTTTCTTTCTTTCTTTCTTTATATATATATATATATATATATATATATATGAAAAATATAGAGAAAATAGGAAAGAACTCGTTAGGTAAATAATCCAAAGTTCTTTAGTATTTTTGTTATTATTTTTAAGAAATAGTGCTCGATACAAAAGTAGAGCATAAATATAATTATTTATTTAAAAATATGATTCCAACACGCTACATAAGAGTTCTCATGTTTCAAAACAAGAGCCGAAAACTTCAATATAATTATTTGAATTAAATTGAATTAAAGTAAGCTCTGTTCCATCTTCAAGTGAAATTTTTTTTGGAATAACTTATTTCTGAAATTTACGTGTTTTAATAACATATTCATTATTGAAATCAAAATTTCTATGGTAACGGTTAGAGCAATTGTTTAAATAAAAAGGGATGTAAGGTGTTAATAATTTGTATCAGTATAAAGTTACATTCACAGATGTCAAGTCAGGGTAAGGTTGGGGTGTCTAAATTTAAAACGGAAGATGATTTCGCCTAGTCTGGTTTATGTGTCTATGGAGATTTATTTATTTTTTTATTTTAGTTTTTCTGAAAGAGTTTTGTGTATATAAAAACTGAAGATGGAACAGAACTGTAGCTGTCCTTAGTCGAGAGGGTGGCTGATGTAAGACCCTATATCTGACAACAGGACTCTGCACCATGAAACACAAGCAGGAGAACCCACTCACATCTTACCTTACATCTGGTCATTTAATTCCCTAAACTGCAAGTCACTTGATTATTATGTCTTGAGCGCAGTTGAGCGAGAGACCACTGTAACACCAAAGATGAACTAAAGGCAAGGATTATGGTATCGTTCACCAACTTAAACAAGGAAACCGTCCAGAAGAGCTGCAGGAGATTCCGAAGTCGCCTGGAAACCAAAATCGATTTTATTGAACAATTTTACTCTTTATTATTTCAAGATATTGTATAATTTTGGTAAATATATCTTTTAAAATGAGATGTCAGTGTTATCTTCATTTTTGCGTAATTCAGCCGACAGTCTAACCATACACCATATTTATATATATATATATATATATATATATATATATATATATATATATATATGTATATATATATATATATATATATATATATATATATGAATTGCAGCTTAAATGTTTATCAGATATGGATAGGAATCCAACAAGCCGATAAAATAAAGAACAAGTAGGAAACGTGTCTCAGTCTAATATGTTTCACCCCAAGGCTTCGTCAGAGATCGAGATATAAATGGAAAAACTAAGAGAGGCAGAATATTGAAATTTTAGGATTTTTGTTTAGTTTTTATTGGTCAGATACGTCTCACGTGTCTGAACACAGTAGGTAATATATTAAATATGAGTGAGGAACATTTTGGACGTTAAAGTATTCAAAAGTGTATGAGTTTACACGTAAAGAAAAGATTGTCTGACTAGTTGTATGTTGGACGGTAACGTTAATTCCTGTAAATATATAACAGTATGTGAGGAATGTCTGTAAATGTCACCCTCGTATATGTCGTTGAAATGTAGCGAAATGTTGCAATAATAATATATTTAGTTGCATTTTTATAGTCACATGTATGTGCATTTGGGGAATGTCTGTTGTAATCTCTGTGTCAGTGAAATGCATCAAGATATTGTAATAATCCTGTTTTGGTTGGATTCATCATTAAAGCATTTCTTACGCATATTCTTGAAAAAAAAGATTTATATATTTTCATTATTCTATGTATTAGATAGACATCATGTTTGATTCATGAATAATGGATCTGTAGAAAGATGGTAATGCGATGTAAGATTTTAAGCGAGTGTTTATGGTTGGTAGCAATGGTATAAATATATTCTTTATAATATTTTCTCCTTAAAGGCGTGTGTTCTTTCGTAATTCGGCTGACATTACTGAAATCAAAGTTATGTTTCGATGTAAGACGAGATAGATAGAATATCTCTCTAAACGCCAGTCGCACACACACACACACACATATATATATATCTATATATCAAATATATATATATATCAAATATATATATATATCATATATATCAAATATATATATAGATTTCAAATATATACATATCAAATATATATAGATATATCAAATATATATATATATATATATATATATCTCAAATATATATATATATATCAAATATATATATATATATAAAATATATATGTCAAATATATATATATATCAAATATATATATATTATATATATATCATATATATCAAATATATATATATATCAATTATATATATATATATATATATATATATATATATATATATATATATAAAATCCAAATCGGTCTTTTTAATCGCCTCCCCCAACTATATCTTCAATAATATAAACTCCCATAAAACAGATTTTTCTAGGTTAATCCTCTAGACTTTCAGTTATGTGTTTTTTTATTTCTAAAACATTGTCTGAATGAATTTAAAGCATTTAGTAAAATTAAACCATTTGTAATTTCGGTGTGATGAGACCTTACTTGTCGAAATAAATTACAATTTATAATCTAGCTTTCGATGATGCGTTAAGTTTTTCCTTTGATATATATATATATATATATATATATATATATATATATATATATATATATTTTTTAACATTATTTTAGTGGATACACGTGTTTGAAATAGACGCCCCATTTTTGTATTTTTAATTTTAAATAGTGCGTTTTACGTCTATCGGTCAGCGATTTTAAAAAAAAATCTTTAGACTACTCCGACACAGAAGGCGTTACAGTTTGTATTTTCCATTTTAAGGAATGCATAATCACTCATATATATATATATATATATATATATATATATATATATGGAAATATAATACAGTTGTTTCCCATTGCTTTCTCCACGGTTTGAAATATGTTCTCTGTTGTGCCATATCTACCTCAGGCACTTGCAGTGGCCTGGAAAATAATTTTTTGTTATTTCCTGTTAAGACTTGTGGATATAATTAATTAAAGGATAAGGCATTGGGATAAGTCACTAATACAAGTTATCTCCCCTTGTGCGGAAAACAGAACGGGTGCAGTATCCTCCCGTCGATTGAATAAAGTATTCCGTTTGCAATGCCGTCAACGTTATTCAATTCTATAGCTATAAGAAAAAGCCGGAGATTACAAGGGTCGAAATATTTTAACAATAACAATCAAGATTTAGGCAAAAGTTCGAATAAATCAATGACTAATAATAATAAATCTTAATCTGAGAAGAATTTTTATAAGGAGAGAGTGAGAGAGAGAAAGAGAGAGAGAAAGAGAGAGAGAGGTAGTAAGATTATCGATGGAGGGAGAGAGAGAAAGGGAGAAGAAGTTAGATCGAGAGAGATGGAAAGAAGGCGAGAGGGATAGATAGAGAAGGAAATATTAGGACAGGAGAGAGAGAGTGAGATAGAAAAGAGATAGAGAGAGGGATGTAGAGCGTGGGATGGAAAGTGAGTGAGTGTGAGGGAATGGGAGAGATAGAGAAAGAGGGAAGTAGTGAAAGAGAGGGATGGAGAGAAAGAGTGTGGCCGAAGGCATGAGTTTAGAGACAGAGGGAAAGGGGCAAACTAGGGAGATAGATAGATAGAGGGGGGGGGGAGAGATGGCAGAAGAGAGAGAGAGTGAGAGAGTGAGAGAGGGATCAAAGGATTGATAGAAAGCGGGCGGTAGAGATATAGCAAGTGAGAGAGAGAGAGAGTGAGGTAGATTGAAAGATTGAGAATATATATAGTGTGAGGGCGGTAGACTGAGGGTGAGAGAGTGAGATAAAGAGAGATGAAAAGAGAACGAGGGAGGGAGAGATAGATAGATAGAATGAGGGTAAGAGAGGTGGCAGCAAATAGAAAGTGAGACAGAGATAGAAAAAGGGAGGAAAGGAGAGAGAGAGAGAGAGAGAAGATGAGGGAGGAAGGGAGAGGATGAGGAAGTGAGAGATATAGGTAGAAAGAGAGCGGAGTTAGAGAGTGAGAGAGAGGGTGAGGACAGCAGACAGAAGATGAGAGATAGAGAAAGAGAGATAGATAAAGAAGGCGAGACTGGCAGGAGCAGTGTGTGAGAGAGAAAGGGATAGAGATAGAAAGAGAGAGACGGGAATGTGAGAGAGGTGGAGTGAGAGATAGAGAGAGAGAGAGAGAGAGAGAGTCGAGACAGTTAGGAATAGAATGAGGGAGCGAGAGTGGGACGGAGAGAAAGAGAGGGATATATAGAGAGGAAGAGGGATAGAGAGAGAAAGGAGGTAGGGAGAACGATAGAGAAAAATTAGATAGATACATACATACATACATATATATATATATATATATATATATATATATATATATATATATATATAATGAACAACAGACACTTTAAGGTGTCTGTTGTTCATTAAATATTAGCTCTGTTCTTCACATTGAGCTCTCAGGATTTCATCCTCCTTGGAATTACCAATTCAGTTTACCAAATTCTTCATAACTTAATTATATATATATATATATATATATATATATATATATATATATATATATATATATAGATCGATAGATAGATAGATAGATAGATAGATTGAGAGATAGAGAGAGAGAGAGAGAGAGAGAGAAGATATCGAATTGATTAGACTAGCCATAGTAAGTATCGATCAGATCGGATGTAAAATCTGATTCATTAGATAACTTGATCAACTTTTGATCAAATGAACATCCTTTCATATCAAGTGTTTGAAGGTTTCCCCGTTTAAAGAAAACGCCCTCGGCATTTTGATCCCTTGTGTTCAGTTGGCAGAGTATTAGACTGGCGTGTACTTAGTCCAATTAGGGAAACGTTAAAATGACGTCTTTGCTAGTTGAGAACACCCACCCAAACACGCACACACAAACACACACAGGGCGTTAAATACAAAATACTTCAAGAAATTTAACGAACATTGATCTGAATGCCAAAGGGACCAGCGTTGTTTCGCCACTGTTTTCCTGTGTCTCGCGAGATGTTAACACATCCATCGAATTAACAGCAGACGAAAAAAAAAAAAAAAACCGACGAGGGAGGGTGAGATAGATAGACTGAGGGTGAGAGAGGTGGCAGCAAATAGAAAGTGAGAAAGATACAGGGACAGAGATAGAAAAAGAGAGGAAAACAGGGAGAGAGAGGGAGGATGAGGAGGGAAGGGAGAGGATGAGGAAGTGAGAGATATAGATAGAAAGAGTGAAAGAGAGGGTGAGGACAGCAAGGGATAAGAGATAGAAAGAGGGAGACGGAGTGCGAGAGAGGTGGAGTGAGAGAGAGAGTCGAGACAGTTAGGAATAGAATGAGGGAGCGAGAGTGGGACGGAGAGAAAGAGAGGGATATATAGAGAGGAAGAGGGATAGAGAGAGAAAGGAGGTAGGGAGAAAGGTAGAGAGAAAATAAGAAAAATACATACACACACACACGCGCGCATATATATATATATATATATTTAGATCGATATATATATATATATATTTAGATCGATAGATAGATAGATTTTCTATCGACGTCCTTTGTTCTTTCTTGATGTTGCTTCACGATGAAATATCCGAGAAATTAGGTATTACCTAGTATATGATGCTGATGTGCGGGTGGTGCAATGGATAGCGACCCGGAATGAGAAATCGGAGAGCCAAGTTCGAATTCCGGTCTGATTCATCACATTCACCTATGCACAAATATCCTTGGGAAAAATATGAATCAATCTCCGTCCCTCAGCTATGGATTAAATAATAGGCTTTGTATCTGGAAAAATTACTGTTATCACCAAAAAATGTTTAATGCAATATTCACTCGCAAAAATAAAATATTATTCTTACTATCCAAAATAAGATTCGGCTTTAAATAACACACACATGGTTGATAACCCGTAAAAAAAACAAATCTATCAATCAATCCTCATTATATGTTCTTGACATTTCAGCTTTCTCCTTCTAATTCTAAATATAGGCGTCCTTTTTGTTTCATTAAAAATTCCTCGTTAAAATATATTTCGGTTTTAAATAACACACAAAGGGTTGATAACCCGTAAAAAACAAATCTATCAAATAATCCTCATTATGTGTTCTTGACATTTCAGCTGTCCCATTTTTGTTTCCTTAAAATTTCCTCGTTACTCGCAAATTCATTTGATGATATTCTAAGCATCCTCCTGTAGAACAAAATTTCTATTGTCTCAAGTCTATTCTTTTTATTTGAGGTGTTGGTCCAGCAGTCACTTCTATATAAGGAGGACATATATTGTATAACAGTTCAGTACTCTTTTCTTTGTTTCGAACGAAATTTTCCTCTTCAATAAATGGTTATGGCAGTGGAGAACTTGGAGAGGGGAATTAACAGGTGATAACTGATAACTGACATTCATTAGGCATGGCACGTGGAACTAGAACAGTCTACACTAGCGAGCGAAATAAAGGCTTCAGTTCGACATTCCAACCACCTGAAGAAGGCCGGAGCGTACAACCAGTCCGAATAATGTAAATGATTATAATACCTCACCTCAGAGATATAGACAGATGTGTGTACATTCTTTCTATTTATGCACCGTGTCCTTTCAGGGTATAGGTGATCATGGCCCTCCACTTCCCCTTATCCCTTGTGGCTCTCAATAGGTTTTGTGTTTCTGTCAACTCTCCCAGACCACGCTTCGCGATCCACCTGCCCAAGCCCACTGCGTATGTCAAACGCTGCTTTCCCCTGTCTCGTTTTCCCTCTATACGACTCGTGAGTATCAGATTCTCCAGGCCCTCCTTTCTCATCACGTGTCCCATAAATTTCATCAGCCTCTTTCTTATGTTAAGTATAAGCTCCCTCCTTGTTTGCATCCTCTTCAAGACCTCACCGTTGCTCACATGCTCGGTCCATGATATCCTCAGCATCCTTCTGTAGAACCACATTCATCGAAATTGATCAAGAAATGTTGAAGAGCAGAAATAGCATACGCACACTGTTGTAGAGTAGTTTTCACAGTGAAGGTTTGTATTTCAACTAAGTCGTCCTAAATTAGGTTCAACGTACAAAACGTTAGGAACTTGAAATAAGAGTTAATGACGCAGCAATCTAGTTGTGATGGTTGATACTTCAATGTCCGACATCGACTGACTCACTCAACTCCACTGAGCTCAGCTGGCGACCGCTACTACTACTACTACTACTTATTATGTGTGGGAGAGTCTATTAATAATAGAATAGGTACGTTCAGGTATAACACACATACAGACAGGATCACAGACAGACACGCAGACAGACAAAGACATACACACAGACATCTTGTATTTTATAGATGTAGGTTAATCATATCATGAAGATGGGTCTTAAGAAACCATTTTAGGAACCATTTGTAATGACGATTGTATAATCCTAACTAACCTTTCCTTAATTATATCTTAAATGAAAAAAAAGGGTTATATGCACAAAAGGCAGTGGATAAATCTCAACAACCGACCCCAAAAGCTGAGCAGAAGGAAGGGAGCCCTGGGTTTGTCGTGTGGGTTTGTCAGAGTGTTATTAATGACACATCAACCGAGAGCAGGGCGGTAAAAAAAAAGAAAAGAAAAAAAAACGAAGAAAGTGGCCAAAATGAATCATTGTAAGACATGCTTTTCTCAGAAATGAACGCTATAATGTGTAATGGTCGAACCGTTCTGATAAAGACGAGAAAAATAGTCCCCTACTCCCAAAGTTGCTGGATAAGAGTAAAAAGCCGTCGTTCCAGAAATTGTCAGAGACGTTTTAAGGTTCAACATAACGAAGGTTATGACCTCCAGAGGATGTGTTCATTGGCAGGAAAAAGAAAATCAAAAACGCTTTTGTCAGGTTACAAGAATATTGTGATTAAGGTAGCGAGGACGGCGGCGTGAATAAGTTAATTAGAAGAGAATTATTTAAAGAAATATTCGATTAAAAAAGAAAAAAAAAGTAATGGGCGTTAACTTAGAAATGAAAAAAATAATACAAAAGGAACATGCTGAAAATAGGATGAAGTTAAAATAAATAGAAAACGCTTGATCATATTTTGATGAGATGTTCCCTGAAAGCCGTACACACACATGCACACACATATACACAGAGACAGTCTTTTTACCCCTAGGCATGAGACGGTCGACGCGTTGTAACACGGGTAGCCTGTTCTTAAAAAATGGAAATTCTTTGTGCAAATTTAGCTCATCGACTGTCTTCAGTTAAAACAGACCGGCACAAATAGTCGTTTCTTGAGTTTAGTTTTCTGCAGCACGAGGCATCATGTGGTAAAGAAGAAAGTAACTCCGGAAAATATGCCTGTAGGTAATTAGAACATAACTGAAATCATCACACTGCTCACACAGTTACATAACAATGAAAAAAGAGAAAGAAGAAAAGAAACTAGGAAAGAAAATAATATTATCCGTCTAGTTTTCATTTCATCTTAATATTTTAAAACAAGATTCCATATCGAATACTCCCCGGACACAGAAGTAATAATTTCAGGAAGGAATAAAAAAGTAGTCATTTATTGATCTTGCATTTCAATTATATCTTTGCTGGTCGAATAATCTTCGGCTAATAAATTAATTATTGCATGAAGGAATACAAAAGTAGTCATTTCTTGATCTTGTATTTCAATGTATCTTTTCTGGTCGAATAATCTTCGGCTAATAAATTAATTATTTCATGAAGGAATAAAAAGTAGTCATTTCTTGATCTTCTTGTATTTCAATTATATCTTTCCTGGTCGAATAATCTTCGGCTAATAAATTAATTATTTCATGAGGGAATAAAAAAGTAGTCATTTCTTGATCTTGTATTGCAATTATATCTTTTCTGCTCGAATAATCTTCGGCTAATAAATTAATTATTTCATGAAGGAATAAAATGTAGTCATTTCCTTATCTTCTTGTATTTCAATTATATCTTTTCTGGTCGAATAATCTTCGGCTAATAAATTAAATATTTCATGAGGGAATAAAAAAGTAGTCATTTCTTGATCTTGTATTTCAATGTATCTTTTCTGGTCGAATAATCTTCGGCTAATAAATTAATTATTTCATGAAGGAATAAAAAGTAGTCATTTCTTGATCTTCTTGTATTTCAATTATATCTTTTCTGGTCGAATAATCTTCGGCCAAGAAAGTAATTATTTCATGAAGGAAAAAAAAGTAGTCATTTCTTGATCTTGTATTTCAATTATATCTTTTCTGGTCGAATAATCTTCGGCCAAGAAAGTAATTATTTCTTGATGACATCTTTCCAAGGTGAATACTCTCCTGCGATAAAAGTCATAATTGATATAGGAATAAAAAAAAGTCATTTC